GGCCCTGGGGCAGGCGTCCCGCCGCGCCTCGCCGGTGGGAGGGATCCGAGAGCCTACCGGCCGTGCCGGGAACCCTTTAGGCTGCGCCTTACTCGGGCTCCTTGTGATAGCAGGCCCGTTCCGTGAAGCGCTAAACTGCTTTGGATTTGCGACGGCGTTGAAGCGAAGAAGCTGGCAGCAGGCAGACAGCAGTACAGGTTTCTGATAGAGCTTGGCTAACGTAGGAGTTAAGCCACGTGCGTTTATATGGCCTGGGAGCTCCCGGCGCCTCGTGAAACATGGGCAGGGAGAGTTGACCACATAGTTGATTCCATCTTTAAAAAACCAAAACAAAACCGATCAGTCTTTATGGGTGCTAACTAGTATCCATCAGCTTAGTCCTGGGCAGTGGGGGCAAGGCAATATTTTATTTGGGGTATGATACACTGTTTCAGGTGCGCCGTAGGTATTTTTGGATGTGAGTGACTTAGATGGCAAACAATGGCACTGGGTGCCTAGCTAGGTGCCCTGAACATCTAGCCGTCCCTTCAGCTGCTGAGAGCAAAGGCATCTTCAGGCTGTAGAAAAAAACTTTTTCACGCTCACCATAATTGAGTTTGATGATAAAAAGTAGGTAGGTAGGGTTGACTTAAACTTCTGTAATGCACAAGACAGGGGTTACTTGCCAGGGTTGAAAAAAACATTGATACTGGACACCGACAACATCTGAGCATTCCTAGAAAACAGGCACATCTTAGAGAGCATCAATCGCTTGGCCGTCTGAATATACAGTTGCGTATTGGAATGTCAGTGTACCTCAGGAAGAGAATTGACATATTTTTCCAAGAGAAAAAGAAGCAGTAAGTCTCTGCTTCCTCAGTGCAGGGACTCTTACAACTTCAGTGTGCTTAACATCAGGTTAGAAACACTTCCATTCAAGGAAAACACTTGGAGAAATTGCTGCTTGTGTCCAACTTTTTGCCCAAAGGTGACTGGGAACCATTGAAAGTGAATTTCTGAGTATGGAGAGCTTGGATACCTGCAGAGTGTCAGGAATAAAACAGTTCAGACAGGATTAGTTTCGAGCAGCATGCTTAACCAGTCGCTGTTTTGCAATACTGGTACTTGAGGTTATATTCTTGCAAATGTGAATCTTCAGCTCATTGGTGTCAGGAGAAATCAAGATCCCTCTGAGAAAGGGGGATCCTGGTGAGAACAATCTAAGCAGTAATCATCTCCAGGTTTTCTAGTTCTTTGATTTCTGCAGAACCCTTGGCAAATGCTGCATCCTGTTCTAAAGCACATCTGCGTTCCAACAGGACATCATTCATGATCCCGGCCGAGGCGCTCCCCTTGCCAAGATTGCCTTCCGTGACCCGTACCGGTTTAAGAAAAGAACCGAGCTTTTCATTGCTGCCGAGGGTATCCATACTGGTCAGTTTGTTTACTGCGGCAAGAAAGGTGAGTGGAGGTGGAAAGTGTGCTGTTCCCTGGGTGGTTTCGGAACGCTAAAGCAGATGTCACCTGAATGCGCGAAGTCGAGGATGTTGAAGTGCGGTTGCGAGCCATGGCGAAGCAGTAGCTTCCGCTAGCTTCAAGCAAACCTGGCTTTCCTTCTTGGAGGCTGCGGTCTCCTCACGCAGCCCGTTTTGATTAACAAGCCTAACCGCAGTTCTTGTCAAGCGTTCGGGTTGTTGTATCGAGACTCCCATTTTGCCTGCCTTTTTGTTACGCTGAACGCAAAACGTGGGTTTCGAGTCAAACAGTCCCCCTGCCTGTCGCTTCCGAAGCGGTTATGCACGTGCCCTTCTTCTGTGCACAGAGGCCCACGTTAAACAGAGTTGAATTTCAAGTAGAGGAGCCCGGGTGAAGCTGTTGATGCTCTGATTGCTCTTTGCAGCTCAGCTGAACATTGGCAATGTTCTACCTGTTGGCACCATGCCGGAAGGCACCATCGTGTGCTGCCTCGAGGAGAAACCGGGTGACCGTGGAAAGCTGGCCCGTGCTTCTGGAAACTATGCCACCGTCATCTCTCATAACCCTGAAACAAAGAAGACCAGAGTGAAGCTGCCTTCTGGCTCCAAGAAGGTGATTTCTTCTGCAAACAGAGCCGTTGTTGGTAAGGAGTGACCGCTATGGACTTGTAGTCACTGAGTTTATGTACTGCTAAGCAAGCTTTCAGACAGGGCCCCCGTTCCCAGTGCTGTCTAGAAAACAGTAATTTACAAGGCCAGACCCAGGATTACGCACAGGCAGAGTCTGTACACAGGTGCCGGACTTGTGTATTACGCCCGCGTTACTTTTGGTAATGGGAACTTAAACTTGAAGGTAGTTGGACCTAGTGAGAGGACAGAAAAGCAGATGCTGGTTGTCCTCAAGCTGTGAGGGAATCGCACAGCCTGTAAAACCTGCGGTCCTGGGGGAACAACTTCTGCAGAAATTGGCGCTGACGGTTTCCCGCCTTTTGACACCGACAGCAACTAAGCCTATAGGAGGGGTGGTGCTGAAGGCGCTCAGCCCCTGTAGGTGTCATTGCTTTGGTGGAGTATTCTGGAAGGTCTGACAGTGAATACAAATTCCGTTGTTGAGAAGGAGATTTCTTGTCATGTTTGTTAATACGGTTGACTGACAGCTGTACTTGGTTTTTGACACTCGGTGTACTCATGGGCAAGTGTTAAAGGTGCAAGGAGAGAGAAAACTGTTGGACTCGAGCAAGTCTTACTCGCCTTGATGAGGCAGAAGTTACCAAATGGCCCTGCCTGCAAGTGGAAGACATCAAAATTAATAATCTCTGGTCTGTTCTCTAGTAAAATTGGCTAAATGAGTAAGGAGATAACTAGCTCTTAAACCTCAAAGGGCTCTACAGTCCCCTGAGCTCTTTCAATTCATACTTCTTTTAGTTGTAACACTAACAAAACTCTTTTCCCCAAGAAATTCTAGCAAGAAAACTGGCAACGCTTTAGAAAAAGCGCTAAGCTCAGTCCTAGACGTGTGGATTGAAAAAGGGTAGTTAAAGTACGTGTCTCCTCGCAGATCGCTTAACATGTGGCTGGTAGCTTGAGCTTAACCTCGTTGCCTGTGTGGGCTGGAAAATACCAGTTTGGGATCGTTGGAGACTGGTCTTTAGAAGCTGCTTCTTAGCTCTCAAATGGCGTTTGGAAATAGTCGTGTTCTTAAACGGTTTCTTTTGCACTCTTGTCTGTTATGTCTGCATGTTACCGTTCCTGTAACTTTTTTTTCAGGAATTGTTGCTGGCGGAGGTCGCATCGACAAGCCCATCCTGAAGGCTGGCCGTGCCTATCACAAATACAAGGCGAAGAGAAACTGCTGGCCACGTGTCCGTGGTGTGGCCATGAACGTGAGTCTCTTTTCAACTGGAGTTTTCACTTCCCCTTTTTATGGCTTAGAAAGGATTTGTTTGACACAGCCGGGAGCCTGGCGTGCATCTGGAAGAAGGGCTCACAGACTGCCCTGTAGTAGCACCCTTAATGAGGGTAGTTAGCAGCACTTGCTAGTCCCTGCCCTGTATGAAACAGTTAAATTTTTCGTCCCCTCCCATCAGTTTATTGCTGTTAAACATCGTTTCTCGTTTCTGCTGTGTATTATACTGACGCCTCGCTTCCCTTTCTTGTCCACAGCCTGTAGAACATCCCTTCGGTGGTGGCAACCATCAGCACATCGGCAAGCCGTCAACCATCAGGAGAGATGCTCCTGCTGGGCGCAAAGTCGGTCTCATTGCTGCCCGTCGTACGGGTAGGCTGCGCGGAACAAAGACTGTGCAGGAAAAGGAGAACTGAAGACCCAGTATGGAGTTCACAGAATAAACTTTTAAGACACAGCTGGTGTGAAGTTCAAGTTCTCTGTTACTGGAGTGGGGCTGAACTGGGGGTTGTGCTCAGCTCCATCAGGGGAAGTGGGGAGCAGAGGTGAGGGGGTTTTCCCCCTGCCTTCAAGAGCAGCAATTCCCTCACTTCCCAGGCTGGTGCTGCAGGCTGGAGTAACGCTTGGTGCAGATGCTGTTGTGCCCAGGTGTGATGTTAAACACTGGCGTAGTCAGGTGGTTGCTTAGGCCTGACCAAGCATCCAGTAGTTACCTGGTGACCTGTGACCAAGCATCCTTGGTTACCTGGTTTAACTTGGGAATGTAGCCGAAATGGTTAAAGGGTGCTCAGTTTTCTAAGTTCATAGACTCTTAATGGGTTTCCATTTTTACCTGCTATGTTTCTTTGGAGGAAAAGCTTGTGAGAGTTGCAGAACTCCTTACAGAGGAAGTGTTTCAGCTCGTACTGTCACATGTGAAGCGCCAAACAAATCAGAGATACTTCCCCCTGAGCACAAACTCAAAAGTTTGAAGTATCACGCACCCCACCACCTTTACTCGTCAGTGTTTGGAAAGGGCAAACATCTCCAAAATTCTCTCCTTTGCAGGCTGTTCAGCAGAGCGGGGGCCAGCTTCTCCTGACTGGCTCTTCCTAGGTACTGTAGTAACACGGGGAACGGCACCAAGGCTTCGCGCGAGGCAGCTGTATTCTCCCGAGAGCAGCTGTCCTGTGAACAGCCGGCTCTGGGGGGGGAAGGAGAGAACAGTGGTGGGGTTTATTGCGGGATGGCTTAGTTCACAGCCTTCCGACCAGTTCCTTCGGCACTGCAGATGTGAGCGTCTGTTGTGATTAGCTCCCGCGTGGCTGGAAGCACTGCTGGAATAGATGTGGATTCCTCGAAGGGCTGGATGTCCCCAAAGTGAAGCAATGATCCTTTGGAAGGCATGGCAACAAGGTATAGGGAAGGCAGAAGCATGCTGGGCTCTCCAGAGCAAAAGCTGCTGTCCCTTGGGGTGCAGGGGAGTTCACGTACTGCAGTGGGAATAATGCCCAATTATTTTGCTACCTGCAAAAATAATACTGTACCTGGCCATACATGTGTGGAGAGGGAAAAGTGATTTGAAAAAAACCAACCACACACCTTCAAGAAAGGCAACGGATCGTATTTAGGAAAAAAATCTCAAAAGCAATTTGAAAACTTGCTTTTCTTCTCATGTACCCCCAGTCACATCAGTGTTTGTGAAAGCTGATGTCTCGTGTTTTTGCCACGAGGTCAGAAGCTCTTGTTCATGTGCCCGTGTTCTGACATGGATCTAAATTTAAGTTCTCCAAAACGGCTGAGGTATCTAACGTTCAGATGACTACCTTGACAAGGGCCTTGTTAAGAACGGTTTCACAATACGTCAAATACCGTAGAAGTTCCCTCGCGTGAGAGCCGTCCTGTCAGGCTGGCGGTGCAAAGGGCATCTGGAACAGTTTGCATTAAATGCGCCCGAAGGACTGGCAGAAACCACGCTTTCCATCCCTGCTTGGCTTTGTGGGCTCCCTGTATTTTCTAGGGAAGGGGGAAGATTCTGACAATACTTGCTCACAGACTGCCAGGTGTTCACAGCCAACAGCTGGAATATCCGTGCGCTACAGCTACAGGTAGGGAATAGTTGCACAAATAAGCAAGTACCATGTTGCTGAAGGTAGGTAGCCACACACACACATTTAATGTAAATATAATGTACAGGATGCCCTGCTAAATGTCACTTCGGGTTCACACAGCAGCATGAGGACTTTGAAGACTTGAGTCTGTGCTCTTGTTGCAAGTAACTGATTAAAGTACAGTCTTCTGTGACAAAGTTTGCTACAAATTGGAGGCTTACCTTTAATGTTTGCACCCTATAGGCCTGCATGCACACACCACACTCTACCTGCTCCTTTGGAAACCCCACCTGGAAATGAAAGCCAGGGTTGTGGAAAATCCTAGCATATGTTCCAAACATTACCCTGCCACTGTGCTGAACAGGGAGTTTAAGCTGGTCGACCGAGGAAGAATTCGCCACATCCATTTGTTCATACATGAAAGCTTAAAGCGCGTCAACAGGTAACGAAGTGGCCCCTGGGGCAACGCAGTAGGGCAGGACTGCTCGGACGACCTGAACTGGAGGAGCAGAAGCAGCCAGGGGTGGAATTTTATGCAAGACTACACTTGAAAAGGAATTTGTGGGAGCCCACGTGCACGCACATAGCGGAATTTACAGTCGCATGCATCAGGCTGCAGGACCCCCGCCCGGGTGGAAGCGCAGCGGGAGGATGCTGAAGGTGGCACAGAGGCCACTGACGCCCCCAGGAGTCCTCAGCCTCAGTGGTGTTGAGCCAAGCCCCCCGGCGCATGATGGAGAGGCGTGAAAGGAGCAGCTTCTTCGTGAAAGAGCGGGTACCTGCAGCCAGGCTGCCAAGCAGTCCGACAGGAAGAAGAGCAGCAATATCAGAACTTGCACCTTTCGGAGGGGAAATGGTCTAGAGACTTCAAGTCCAGTAATGCAGTTTAAATTTAAAAAGCCACAGCGATATTAGCAAGTGACCACAGCATGAGACAAACATTCTCCAGGGGCAAAATGAAAAATTTCAATAAACTGAAACATGTTTTCCAACATGAAGGTCAAACTTGAGACAACTGTAGAATAGAGAGTGAACACCAGCAGATCACACGGTAGGGGAAGTTAAGAGAACTAACAATGCAACAATGAAAGGAAAAAAACCCTCATACAAATATGCTATTGAGTTACTAACAGGCTTATTGCGGCCTGGGAGGATCTGTGAAGGCACTGAACGGAAAATGAAAATGGGACTGAAGTTAACGTCAGTCGCTGGCACCTGCGTGGGCCGAACGGAGCGTCAGCCGCCTGTGGCAGGCGGGAGGTTCAGCTGAACAGGGTGGCAGCTCCTGAATTTATGCTGTAGAAATCAGAAATTGAAGACGACAGGGACGCTGCAAAGCAGCAGGGCGCCTTCCTTTATCACCTTGGCTGGCAAGAGCCTCGGTGTAGGCTCACTACTTTCAAACAACAAAAAAATGTGGTGCAAACACGGCAGAATCAAGTGGGACGGTATTTGGACAATCCATAAATCAAGGGGATTTTGTCAGGATAAATCCACCAGGATCTGGTGTATTTAACCATGATCTATGGCTGGTCCTGGGATTCACAGGATTTACCGTACAGTGAAGTAAACTGATTGGAAATAGCCCCCCCTTATTTCCCTCCTCGGTCAGCATCGCCTCCATCAGGCAGTACGCAGATGGCTGCTGCACTCCCATGCTACGCAGCTGGGGCGCCGCTAAAGCCATAAAGAGCCAACGGAAGAAATTAAAGCTCAGGCATCCCCCTTCCGCCTCCTCCTTCCCCTGCATCTGCACAAGGCACCAGATCCCGGCCAGCAGCCGGCGGGGTAGTCCCTCCACCCCCGGGGCTCTAAACCGCCCTGTCTGTTGAGCAGTTGCTGACCACGGGCAGCGGGAAAGAGAATTGCGAAGCTGATGGGGAAGCGGGCAGACTCCTGAGCTCCTAGCTCTGCTGAAGAAGCTTTAATGCAAAAACCCTTTTGAATATAAGTCAGCAAAATCAACGCAAACCAGGCGCCATAGAAAACACAGGGCATCCATGCGTGGTCTTGTGCTTCTCCTACTCCCCATAATGCATCATATGCTTTTATATTCGCTCCTAGTAATTATATTTTAAATGTATACCATAATTCAGCAACTTTTTGCTCAAACCAGCTGTTCTTATCAGCCTGATAGACTTACAGAGTTGATTTGCTTAGATAGTTTATATCCAGGATACTTATTCACGCATGAGCATCTCAATTCCCAGCCCAAATACTATGTTTGACTCTCTGTATAGTCAAACTTCAAACCCTATGGCCATGCTTATTATCAAAGTAATAATAAAAGAAAAGAAATCTCCCGTAAGGACTAGCATGGCTACAAGGACATCAGAAATCTTGAAATGAAGCAAAATCTGTTTTAAAGAAAGACGTTAAGTGTTCATGCCAGAATTTCAGTGGTTATTTCCAGAATAAGGCTTTATTTTCTAAAAGGAAAAAAAAAAATTAAAAAAAAAAAGATACATACCAGTGAAACACTAAAAAGTCTTCCTTTAGAAAGGCTTCAAATTTCCACCTACCACAAGACCAAACAGCATTTTCTTTCTACTTTTTAATGGTGCATTGAGAAACACCAAGTTCTACCTAAGCATCAACACGTATCACAAATTCCTTCATCATCATGTAACACCCTCATTAGCATTATTATCCCTTTCCGATCTACCATGCCACCGATACCTCAGCAGCCTGATGGCCATTGCACAGACAGCACGCAGCTCAAACTCGCTCCGAGACCCACACGGCGGAAGGCAGGCTTCACCCAGGGACGGGCAGGGCTCACCTCTCCAGGGCTTTCCACACCTCCATCTCCCAGTCCTACTGGGGCGCCCGCAAACTGGCCGCCTGCCCTTGATAAATCAGAAGGGGGGTGCAGTTCTGGAGGGTCCACAGCCTGCTGCACACCAGCGCAGGGAGGGAGGGAGGAAATGCAAAGGAAAAACCGCGTAAGGTAGAAAAAGGCCAGAGCAAATCCATCCAGAGCGGTCTTGCAAACAGAAGAGAGGGAAACAAGCCTCAGCAACAAAACTGTAATGCCAGCTTTGCTCTCTTGAAGTTACCAGGTGAGTATCAAAACCAGGAGAAATGCTTTGGGCCGTATTGTCAGCTAAGGTAAAAACCACAGGAGCCCAAACTCGAAAAGGTTTTAGGGAGTCAGGTGATCAATAAATCATTACATATTTCACAGTCTCCTAGAAATTAAATTAAAAATTGGCTGGTTCTGTCCCGTGGCATTAACGAACTCTCAGAGAGAAATGTGAGAACAGAGCACATGCATGGGAGTCACTTTACATTTTTGCCATCTTCATCAAAAGCTTTCTTCTCCCAGTTTACAGCAACCCCCCAACTGGCAATGAACTATTGGGCT